ATGGCACAGCTCAGCGCCTGCCTGCAGGTCCTCCAGCTGGATGGGGAAGAGTTGTGCCAGGCCCTGCACTGCCTACTGCCCCGCTGGTTCAGTCATATCGTCCCAGCTGCAGAGGCAGAGGTCCGTGCCCCTCTCCTAAGGGGTCAGAGAGCACAGAATGCTTCCAGACCCTAGTAGTTATGGGGTAGAGATAAAAATCTAAGGAGCATATGGATGCTCCAAACCCCAAAAGGTCAGCTGTGGCCCTGGCTACTCTATCTTTGACCCCTGACTTGGGGAAGAGGAGGTGGCCAAAGACCACATGGGGCCTAGAAAATGGGCCTCTGCTGGCTTTGCCCAGGGAACCAGGAGCAGAGGATGGAAGCTGCCTGCCAGGCATAGCAAACAATCTGCAGGGTCCTGGGGGCTCCCAGGCCCACTCTAATCTGCGAGAGCTCCAGGCACTAACTTCAAGGTGGCTAAGGTCAACAGACTGCCCCAAGGGCTGGACGGCACAGATGGGACAGGGGGAAGTTCATGGCATCATCAGAATGCTGAGATACAAGAGGTGAAAAAGAGAACAGCAGCCAGAGCAGGCAGGGAAGGAGAAGAGCCACTCCGAAGCTGGGCTTGCCCAGGTCTGGGGTCTGGCCATAAGGATGTGGGCTGCACGCAGCCTGGAGGCAGCACTTTCTGCCCTCAGCCCTAATGGGAAGCACACCCCTCTCATCACAAGCTCACCACCTGGGCAAGGGAGTGCAGCTTCAATTCAATCCAGTCAGTCCAACCCCAAAGAGGCTGCTCTAAGCTTGCTGCATTCCTGGAGTCCAAAAAATGACATATATGGTCAGAGAACCATCAGGGCAGATAAGGAATGCAGACGAGACCCAGGCACGGGTAGGAAGAGAGAACTGCCACCGGGGATTCAGACCCTGAACACCTCAGGACTCGGAGGTCGCATGACAACCTCCTGCACATGTCACAGCCAAGGACTCTAGATGGTAAACTGGTTCTGCATTACTAGCAACAACCATCCTGTTACCAGGGCAACTATACCGACTCAGTGGCAAAAGCTGTTTCAAGCTCCTGAGCTGAAGCTGAGCAGCCAAACAACAACAACAACAACAACAAAACCCCATCTTTTTCCTCTTCTTCTCCTTTGGTCTTTTTTGCTACCCTTATTCACTACTGCTGCTTACCGCCAAATGTAAGTCCCTTCCCAAGAACACAAATGAAGACTCTCTCCTATTTGGGAATGCATTTCTCCTGCGGAGTGTTGCTGTGCCCCTCACTCTGTGCCCCCCTAGTCCCCTTCAACCTTCCAAGGCAGGCAAACCTCAGTCTTGAGGATTTCACCACTGATTCATCTACATTCTCCTCCTTTCATTCAACCAGGAGGCGGTGAGGGCTCCACCAAAGGCCCCCTCGCCCCCCAGCTGGATATTAGGGACAGAATGCAGCTCAAAGTAACCCTTCTCCAGACTTGAGCCTTCTCTCCTTCCCTTCTTTCTGGCATTGCCCAGGCACCAAGTGCTCCCTTCAGCCCTGCCCACAGTGGGTGCTTGATGCAATGAAAAAGGCAGGGGATGATGAGGTATTTGGAGAACTGGATTACAGTCCTGCCTAAACCAACGAGTTGCAAAGATGCCGGGCAGTCCTTTTCCTATCTGGTCCTAAATGTCCTCATCTGTAGAAGTGACGGCTCCTTCCACAAATATAATTCTCCAAGGTCCTAAATACTGTGCTGCAGTGAACAGCAGGATTAGAAGGAACAGCTGGTAGCTGAAGTATGTGTGAGGGAGACGGTCATCCTCTACAGTTTGAAAGGAGAACTGGAACTCCACCTCTTTTCCAGTAACTCCTCTATTTTGCCAGTTCTCCCGGAACTGACCCCGGCTCCCCCCTAACCTCCTCTTCTAGAATCACTAATCACAGTTGTTCCCACCTCCCAGCTCCACTGGCCTCTCTCAACACCCTTCAACCTACAGTTGTTGCCCCCTGTGAGCCTGGAAGTTTAGCTCCCACTCAGTGGGAGGGCGAGAAAGCTAGTGAGAGGAAACTCTGACATATAGTGCAAGTAAGTATCCCGGCTGCCTAAGACTCCAGGCATCCACATGCCCCGGCCACGCTGCAAAATACTTCTTACTGGGAGGTTGTTTTCCCTTCTCAGTAGGTAAAAATCTGCCTTTATAAAAATCTCAAGATTCACTTTAGGCAGTTTTTACCTACAGGTTTTAACCTTTGGAAGTCTGGACCGCTCCGAATTATTTACTTATTCATTTAAAATAATTTTTAAATTGATTTCAGAGAAAAAGGGAGAGGGAGAGAGAGATAGAAACATGCATGCTGAGAGAGAGAATCGTTGGTCGCCTGCCTCCTGCACACCCCACACTAGGGATGGAGCCTACAACCCAGGCATGTGCCCTGACCGGGAATGGAACTGTGACCACCTGGTTCATATGAACCTCTGAAATTCTGACAAAATTTGTGGTCTTTTTCCCTAAGACAGATCAGCACTTGCATGAAATCTTGTATGCAATTTTAAGTGGTTCACATGCCCTCTAAGACTCTCTGGTTAAGAACCCCTGACCTATTCAGAATTACATCTGACACATGTAATTACTGAATTAATCCACCTCCTAAGTGGAGAAGGGAACCAACATTTGTTGAAGGCTGTATAGCACCAAGAACTGGACAAAAATTACCTTTTAACTTTACAACAGCATCTCAGAGGCATGTAGGACTGGGCCCATTTTACAGTGTGAGGACAGTGAGCTCCAGGAAACTAAGCAAATTGCCAACGGCCATACAGCAGAGTCAAGATTTTAATCCATGTCTGTCTAAGGTGGTCCCAGTGTGCAGGGCAATCCCTCAATATTTCTCTAAGTGACTGTAATTCATTCATGCGATTCTCAAGATTCAGAGAGGTTCCACAAAAACAAAACAAAACAACAAAACACCCACAAAATAACGCCTCTCCCCTGATCTCCTCCGAACGTAACTGAGATAACAAATTGAAATCGCATTCTCTGGCCTTGGGATCGTCCTCCTAGGAGCTCCACACGGTGAAAACGCAAATCCTACAACAGCAAGACTTTCAAGTACAATCACGTTTGCACAGAGCGCCATGGTTTACAAAATCCGGATTGGGTGCACTGATTATGAAACTGAGATGAAAGCATGGCCTAATAGGTGGCGGGTTGGAACACTTCCCCCAAATTTCTTTCTGTTCGCGTTTCGCCAGATCGGGGCAGCGAGCCTTTCCCTTCCCAGGGGCTTGCTCGATGGCAGCGATCTGACCGGGACTCTGCACCAGGGAGGGCAGGAGGAAGGCAGCTAAGGAAGCCGAGTCCTCTCCCTGCGGACCGTGAGTGGGACAGAATTCCCGAAGCAGGAAGGCCAGGCTCCCAAGTCCCGTTCCACCCCTCCTCCCTTCTTCGGACCCTCCTCCCTTCCTCGGACCCTCCCCGTCGGGACAGCAGCCCTTCAGACTGCCCGGCCCGGCCCTTCCCTTCCCCATCACCACCCGGGGAGACCCCGCGCCCAGCAGCTCACCGCGATCGCGCTCCGCTCCTTTTGCCACGCCTGTCAAAGCTCGGCAAACATCCGGCTCCGCTGCAAAACGGGAACCGCCCCCTCCCCGTCTCCTCACTGCTCAGCCACTTCCGCCACACCTCCAACCCACTTCCGACCCCTTCCCCGCTCCAAACAAGGCCTTTCCAGGAGCCCACTTCCGGTGCGCGCCCTCCTGGGAGTAGGACAGCATAACTGTCCGATTCATCCCTCCCAAAAGGAGGCGGCTAGAACGATTCGTTCCTCTTTCTCTGGGACTCGACCCTCCGGTGGCCCTCCGGAATCCTAAACCCGTGCTGTTCCCCGACAGGGTTTTGCTTCACCGGTACCGCCAAACCCCCGGTCCTGTGCACCAATGAAGTCCGACTTTTACGATGCTTCCCCGAGAGTAAATTTGGCAGGCCATGACTGTTTCCGGGAGGAGCCGAGAAGGCGATGCTCACTTCCGGCGGAGGGGCTTTCCTGACCAGGAATGGAGGCGGCGGCGTCGGAGCTGCTCTTGGAGGGGGAGAGCCTGCAGTTGGGTGAGTGACCTGCGAGGTCGCCGACCCCTGGCCTGGATACACTTGACATCCTCCGGTCTACTCTCTGCCCCCGACCCTTTCTTTCCCTCCCGAGCCCGGGAGCCTCCTCTGGTGCCCTCAGTCTCTGGGGGTTTCTTCAGAGCCCTCGAGCCCCCTTAAATCTCTCAGGGGCTTCCTGGGAGCCCTGATGGATCCCTCAGGCTTTCGCCTCCCACGCCTCTCTCACGGCCTCTTGGTTCACTCCCTCATGGCCTTCCTATCTCCTTACAGACCCCGAGCGGCGCCCGGACCCGGGCTCAGGATGGAGCCCTTCTGCAGAAGGCCGTGCTCAGGGCCTCAGAGACCGTCCGGCCTGGCCGACCCGAGCCATCCACGCTTTAAAGACCCTCCCCCAGGGTTTAGCCCTTGGCCCCTCACTCGTGGAGAAACAGCGCTTGGGGGTCTGGTGTGTCGGGAAGCCTCTGCAGCCAGGACTGCTCTGGGGGCCGCTGGGAGAGGAGGCTGCCTCGGAGCAGAAGGACGAGGGAGTGCAACCACGGCAGGAGGAGGTGTGCAGGGATGGGGTGTCTCATCTTTGTCACTGCAGAAGGAGTGACCAGGGCCTCAGAGACCGTCCGGCCTGGCCGACCCGAGCCAACCACGCTTTAAAGACCCTCCCCCAGGGTTTAGCCCTTGGCCCCTCACTCGTGGAGAAACAGCGGTTGGGGGTCTGGTGTGTCGGGAAGCCTCTGCAGCCAGGACTGCTCTGGGGGCCGCTGGGAGAGGAGGCTGCCTCGGAGCAGAAGGACGAGGGAGTGCAACCACGGCAGGAGGAGGTGTGCAGGGATGGGGTGTCTCATCTTTGTC